CTTAGAAAAGTGTTATTCAAGCCCCCAAAACCAGGAAGGCCTCTGTCGCCACCAGCCGGGCCTGCAGGCTGCCTCTGGGAGTTATTGCCGAAGAACAGGGTGCTCTCGGGGAGAGTGTGGACCAGGTTGCAGCGAGCTGCTCCCCACCCCGCGTCTTCACTCAGAGAAAACATGACCTTTCAAGCAGCATCCTGGCAGGGCAGGGGAACACACCCTTTTCTCAGAATCCATGCCATAGAATAGAGAGCAGGGGTGGGGCAAAGGGAGAGGTTTTCTGATTCCTATTCTGCGGCCTGCTAGACTTCCCAGAAGGGCCTAGAGGAGGGGTCTTATCAAACATGCCCGGAGTCAGAAACAGGCTCAGGGAAGATAGCCATGGCCATGGCTCTGGCTGGCCTGGCTCAGGAAGTAAGTGTGAGCTCTTTGGCCATGCTTCCACTTGGGGTGGTCTCCCTGGCTCACCGATGCACACAGAAGTGCTTGGGGGCTGCTGTGGGCACCTTAGCTAGGTACCGGGTACAGGAAGCCAGTGGACAGGGGAGGAGGGCACCCAGGCTGGATTGCTGGTGCTTAAAAGGCATCTCCAGAAGAAAGTTGCTGGTAGAAGGGAGTGGCGGGTCAGCGAGGATATAAAATGCCTGCCTGACTGAAACACATCGGGAGAAAGACAGGGCTTCCTCTGCCCATAAAGAGTTCCTGGCTTGGAAATGCACAGGGGTTGCCCCGCCCTGGCCTAGAGTCGTTGAATCCGAATCGATTCCGTGGCAGTGGGCTTGCTTTTGACTGACACGGGTTCACCTCCGTCATCTCTTGAACTGGATGGTGATGGAGACAGGGAAGGATACCTAAGTGGGGACAGCTGGGGGAGTAAAGTTCGGGATAAGGCAGGTGTGGAGATGGAGGCAGGAGCGCAGGCTGGGCGGGGGGCACACATCTTAGAAGGGGACACCCCCTCACTTTTGATCGGTAAGAAGCCGCCAGCCCAGAGCAGCTGGGGTGATTCTGCCCCCCAACTCTCCCAGGGGCAACCTTTGCTCTGTCTGGAGACATTTCTGATGACAGCCTCACATCCAGCACGCTTCCTGTTGGCTCCGGAGAGGCTGTTGGGGCCTGGACTCTCCACCCCTTGCTTTGTGAACGTGGGCAAGTGACTTCACTCTGTACCGCATGGCAAGCGGCGACCACCTCAGCGGCCTCACTGCAGAGGTCTCTGTGAGGCCACTGGAAGGGCACTGAGGATCCAAGAGGTCAGAGGGAAGCTGCCTCTGTGAACGAGGGTGGACATGTCAACAGGCTCAGAAGGGAGCTGTCCACCGAGCCTGGGCTCAGCCTCGGTCTGCTGGGCCGATGAGGGTGACCCCACTGAAAGAGGGAAGGCGCTGGACAACACCCTTTAGACAATGGCCTTTACCTCCTGGCCGATTCACTGGCATGATGGCAGTGATGGGGGCCCATCCCCAAGGGAGTGCCGGGGCCAGGGAAAGAGGGGTCACCAGGCAGGGAAGGGGACACGTCCACAACCCACTCACCTGCCTGGAAGATTCCAGTTTTATACACCTACAGGTGCCCAGATGAGCCTGGGTGAGGGAGAAGAATTCTTCCCTTCCTCTCACCCAGCCACCCGGCCACCTGACACGTTGCATACGCCAGTAACCTAGATCGCTGGGGAGACAGGTAAAGGACACTGTCCCCCAGAATTACCTTTAAACATATTGCTAACTTTGCGTTCTTCCTTTACTTTACATGGGAGTGGAAACTAGAATGTGATAAAGTTAAGAGGAAACTCATTCGCCTGGAGTCTTCTTGGGCTGCCCACATTTCCCAAGGCATCTGTGGACTGACACCTTCAATACGCACGCAGATTGAAACCAGCCACTCCCAAGGTTGACTGGGCAGCCAGTGATGGAGGCAGGGTGAGGGCGGGCTGGCTGGCTGGCTGGGGCAGGGATGAGAGTGTGAGTCGGCCTGGAAGGACGGGCCAGGCCAAGGCTGGGAGGCTGGTTTCAGCAGTGACGACTCAGAGGTCCCGAACCACACATCTGGGGGTGCCCAGTCAGCTCCTGGGGCTGATCCTCTGGGGTGCTTTCATTGCAGACCTCTGGGGCCGCATGGTCTGAGCCTGATGTCAGCACCTCGGGGTGTCCTCCAAGTCTGGACTGGGGTACACACACATTAGCACAAGGGGGGCTGTGTACAGGATTGGTCAAGGTTGGAGGGGAGGCAGGCTGGGAGTCACCGTGTGAGACAGAGGCAGTGGGATAAAGACGGGGAGGCCCGCCCATTGTGGGCTTGGATCTCAGGCCTTCATTTATTCTCTTGTCCCGATTCCTGTGAATGGGTCTCCTCACTGGCCTGCCTCCCCAAAGCCCCTGGCCTGGGGGCATGGCCTCTGTCTCCCCCATCCTAGGAGACGCCACTGGAAACTGTCCCCAAAGAAAACTCTTTTGGCCGACATCTCTGTGGAAGTGGCTCTGACCTCTGTTTGGATATTTCCAAGCCTGGAGAGAAATCTCAGGGACAGCAAGGACTCTTTCACCCCCAGCAACACAGGGCTGCCCACAAGGGTCTGCAGAACAGCCTTCTCCACGCCAGCCGTCAGCACTAGCACTAGCACGTGACCACGGGCTGCCTCGCAGAGCCTTGCTTCCAAGGGCTCAAGTAGAAAATGTTTGGGAAATGATGGTGGCGACATATATATAAATATGCTTGCTACAATCGATGTATGGAATGTTCTAAGAGCTGTGAGAGCCCCCAATCAAAATGATTTTTTTTAATGGAGATATTAATAGTAACACTGACATTCGGGATTCTTACGTCATGTCCAGGCTGTGGCCTTTCCGGGACAGGGGAGGTGGAGCAGGGAGTCAGGGGAAGAACTGAGGAGCAGAGGCAATAGGTCACACACACACACACACACACTCACTCACACTCACTCACTCACACTTGGTCTGACTCCTTGTATGGATGGAGTTGCTATGGGTCAGCATTGACTCACGGGCAGTAGGTTTGGTCATGGTAAAATGGGGCTCAGGTCTTAAGCATACCAGTTCAGTTGGAGGGCTGTGGATCCCTCTAGAACAGGGGCTGCATCCTGTCCCATTAACTCCAACTTGTACCCCAGCCCGAAGCCTGGTGCCGAAGCCCAGCGGCACTCCATAGAGTCCAGTGGCGTGGGCGGAATCCCCTTCCATCTCCCACATTCACACTGCTGCTACACCAGCCCAGCTCTTCTCCCCAAAGCAAACCAGAGTGGGAGCTCAGACTGCCTTCGGGAAGGGGACTCTCTGCCCACTTGGTGCCTCTTAGGATGGTGGCCTTTGTCGTCTATGATAAGGGCTTTTCCATACCTTCCCAAAGCTGGGGGGGGGATGGGGGGCAGGGACGGGCATTGTCACCCTCTGATCAAACAAAATCTCACAGGTCCTGAGGCTCATCCCTCCCCTAACTGATCCAGCCAAGGCATTCAGAAGCAGAAGAACCCTGCCTTGTTGGAGACAGATCAAGTAAATTATTCAGCAACATTCTGCCTGCTGGGGTCCCCCACAAGTAGCACCCAGTTTTAGAAGAGAGGGGTGGGTGTTACCTACTCACAGCACGTGACAGGGTGTCAATTGAGCAGTCGTCTCGCTCCGAGCTGAGCTGCCACGTGGAAGGTCAAAGGGATCCTCTGTTTTCTTTGCCCCTTTCCTGTCCGACTCCTGTCCTGTAGCCCCTCTCCCCCATCCTGCTGGCTGGAAGAGCCAGACAAGCCTGAGCCGGGCAGAGAGAGCCCTCAGATGGCAGGCATCTGATGGAGAATGCGGAGCCACAGGAGGCTGCAGTGATATGGTACTTGGGGACAATTGGTCTGGTGATCACACAGAAAGGTGAGGATGGAGAAGCAGGGGTGGGAGGCTGGGTTTGGGTGCAACTGAGAGGCTGCGGTCACAGTCTAAGGTGGCGGTTCTCAAACTGTGGGTCATGACCCCTTTGAGGGTCGAACACCCCTTTCACAGGGGTCACCCAATTCATAACAGTAGCAAAGTGACAGTGATGAAGTAGCAATGAAAATAACTTTAAGGTTGGGGGTCACCACCACATGAGGAACTGCATTAAAGGGTCGCGGCATGAGGAAGGCTGAGAACCACTGGTCTAGTGCTCCTGGGATCTATCAGGCACCCTCTGTTGCCTCCTTGGTGTGGCAAAGAGAGAATCCATGGCTCTTGCTTCTCCCCATCATCTGACTCCAATCCTGCAGTCCCAGACTCCCTGCGGGCCTCAGGGGCAGGCTGGCCTCCCCCTCTGCATCATCACAGCAAGCCGCATCTACCAACGTGGTAGATGCTTGCTCAGCAGGTGTTGGCCTCCTGAGGAATGAGCCCATCCATGGACAGAAGAAGATTCAGAATTGGTGCACCGAGGAAACAGAGATCGCCAAAGCTCAAAGCATGGGTCCAACATCCAAGAACCAGAGAGAACAGTGACCCCAGAGCCTTGGTGGAAATAGTGGCCAGCAGGGTCTGAGAGTGGGAGAAGAACAGGGTCACCGAGTGCCGTGGAAGCCAGGAGAGGTGTTTTGTGGCGGATAGGTGCCCCCTGTTCAGCAGGGCTAAGTGCCATAGTGACCCCTGGGGATGCAACTGGTACCTGAAGACATCAGTCACTGAAACCCAGCATTACTCTGACTCCTAAGGGGCTTCAAGACGTTATACCTGACTGAATGACACCTAGTCAGGGTCACAGAGGCCGACACACGACTGTGGGTTTGGCAGCAACCTCTAAAAGGAGCTCTAGTGGCGCTGTCTGGTAAGCAAACATTCATTTGACTGCTAACCACAGGTTGGCAGTTCAAACCTATCAGCTGCTCCGTGGGAGTGAGGTGAGGCTATCTGCGCCTGTAAAGAGTCATGGGCGGCTATGAACGCGTCAGAATCGACTCCACGGTGCAGGGCTAGGCCTGGGTTTCTTAAAGACAGGTCCAGGCTCAAAGGGGAGAGCAGAACAGGGGGTGCTCGGCTGAGTGAATGAAGTGAGGCACGCATGAACCTTCTGGGGGCAGCTGAGAGCAGAGAGCGAGGCCTCACTCCAGTCTCAGGCCTGACATCCTGGAGGCTATGGCTCCTGGCAGCACACTCTTCCCCATCTGCATTTCACACAGGCAAGGTGGCCACGTCGTCACCCGCCCTGTCCGACTCAGCCCCTGTTTCCTGCCCACCGATTTCCCAGGGAATGCTCTGCAGGCATGGCACTGCCTCTCAGAGCATCCTCCACATTTGGAAGCCAAGGGCAGGAGAGGCAGTCAGGCTGAGAGAGCGATAAGCAGGCATCCCGTGCTGGGCTGGGTTCTGGGTGTTGTGCAAAAGCAGGCGGCCTCGGAGGCTGCGTGACTGGCCACTTCTCTCCTCTGGGGCTCACCCAGGCCTGCAGCCCAGCTGGTTACTTTACCTGCGCACTGGCATCCTCCCCTTTGGGCTTGATGCAGGGGCTCAGCGTTAGCTTGGGGATCTCGTGGTTGGTCTCCTTTTTCGTCTCCAGGCACTTCTGCCTCTGCCGGATCTTGCCCTTCTGGATGGAGGCGTCCTTGGGGATCCTGGAGGGAAGTCAGGGGGCAGTGAGGCCTCACTGCTCTGCTCTTCGGGACATGGAGAGAGCATGGCAGGACCTGCGCTGCTTTGTGTCGCTGCAAAGGGGCAGATCCCGCTTTGAACAAGCCAACCAGGAAGGACCCACGAGACACAGGAGAAATGATATTACAGGAACGGAGCTGGGATCCGCGAGCCCATGCCCTCAGAATGTAACCTGGGATCCAAGACCCCAACAGTTCAGAAATACTGCTGCTAGTTAACCCAGATCTCTCATGCTGATGAACTCTTGTGTTTCAGTGGTAGAAGTCTCGCCTTCAGGCAGGAGACGTGGGTACCAATTCCTCCACACAGTGGAGGCTGGCATGTAACTCTAATGAAGGGTTTCAGCACAGCGTCCATACAAGGAAAGGCCTGGCAATTGATTTCCCAAAATCAGCCAAGGAATACCCTCTGGATCCTAATCCGTCTGATCTCCAACCCATCATGGGGAAGGGCTGGGCTGGGCGGGGCAGGGCAGGGCTCGGCTCCATTCCCTCCTGCAGAGCTTCACCTTGGCTCAGGGACCCAACGCACTCATTCACAACAACCTTGACCAAACTTACTTACCTTCCTGGTTTCAGAGCATCAGGAGCCAACGGGGCTGCCCAGACCTTACACCCTCCTTCAGCTGTGCTTAACTGCTTTCTCCAGACCAAGTCAGCTGCGAGCCCCTCCCCGGCAGCTGCCAGCCAAGGGTCCCAGAGATGGGGAGGTTACCTGAGCTCGGGGTAGACTTTCTCCAGATACCACTTGAAGCTCTCACAGTGCAAATTCTTCCTTAGCTTCACTCTGCTCTCAATGCTGGGTGTGGGGAGACACAACAACACAGCGTCAGAGACAGCCCTGACACCTGGGCTCCAGCTGTGCCCACGTGCTGTGCCCACACGCCTCTCCCAAGGGTGGCCCAGCAGACATTTCCCTGTGCCTGACACCGGGAGGGAAACACTTAGCAATCTCTCACAACAGAATGACACCCAGGGCCTGTGTGCTGACTTGAAAATGTAATTGGGGGGAGGGGGGGAATGTTTGCACTTTTCATTAAAAACAAAGAGGCAAGAACATGCATTGTGTTGTTAATAATTCACTTCAGGGCTCTGCCTCTGCTCAAACCTCTTTGGATTCTGCAGCTGAAACACCAGCTGGGAAGGTCTCAGGCTCAGAGCCCCCTCCTCTTGGGCTGGCTCAGGAGGGGGGGGTCAGTGATGGGTTTCCTGAGCCCCGAAGATGTGCCCACAGCCCCTCCTGTGTGCTCCATATGAGGTGCCAGGCATTGTTCTCACCCTGGGGTATGACTGAGAGCTTTCCGGCAACAAAGAAGGAAATGTTTTTGTTGACTTGTTTGAAACCTCTGGCTTGCTCCCATGTCTCAGTTTTTTCATTGTTGTAAACACATGCACACCAGACAATTGCCGATTTAACATTTTTCACAAGTACAGTTTAATGGCATCAATTATGTTGCATCGCTGTTCACCAAGAACACAAAAAACCAAACCAAACAATTCCCTTCCACGGAGTCAGTTCTGTTCCGTGGCCCATGGAACCTCGAGGACAGGGTCAAACTATCCCTGCAGGTTTCAGAGGCTGTAACTGTGAGCCTCATCTTTCTCCCTGAAGCAGCTGTTGGTTTCAAACTGCTGACGCAACGCCTAATCACTGCACCACCAGGGGGCTCCTCCAAGGGTTACCAAATTGCCATTAACAACATTTCCATCACAGGTAAGCCTGGCTTGGAGTCCCCATCCTCCTCTTTAATGTGTGTGATCTAGGGCCAGATTCAGGGCTTGCTTAAGTCTGTCTTCTCACCTGTAAAATGGGGAAGCTTGATGCGCTTCTCAGGGCTTGGGGTGACTTATGTAGTGGGGTGGGGTGTTAATAAACATTCTTTCCCTTTCCCCTTACCCCCCTCTCCCCACGAGGCCAGAGTGCTGCTGGAGGGGATGAGTCTGGATGCATCCTGTGGCTCCCCGATGAAGGAAAATGTAGGCGTGGTATCTGAGAGCCAGGAGGGATGCTGGCTTCGAAATACGAAGCTGGCAGGGACACAGGCTTTCAGTCCAGCTCCACACAGGTCACCAGATAATAATTCGGGGAGAACCACCCAACTCTCCGTGCTCCCCGGAGGGGGCAGAAGCTATAAGGCTGGGAAGGAAGCAGAGCCCTTCCCTGGGGCCTGGCAGAGCTTACAGGCTCAAGGAGACGTGCTGAGCAGACAGGAGCCCCTTGCAGACAGACCAGCCGGGACCCATCTTTCCCGACTCTGCACCCCTCTCCCAGAAGGGTACTTACTTCCCAAAGGGCCTGTCCAGGGCGAACGGCTGCGCAGCATAATAGTACTGTTTATACTCATCCATCCAGACTTCGGCTGTCCGCTTGGTGTTCCTGGGGAGACAGGGGTGTCAGGAAGGGGAGCTGATGTAGTCTGTTAAAAATATACACAGGTGGCCAAGTGGGCCGCCATCACCAGGCATCCGCCCTGTGAAGTAACCACAATCCATTAGTGTGCCCACTCCCTGAAAACATTGGGTTAGGGCAGTGGTTCTCAACCTTCCTAATGCCGTGACCCTTTCATACAGTTCCTCATGTGGTGGTGACCCCCAACCGTAACATTATTTTCGTTGCTACTTCATCACTGTCATTTTGCTACTGTTATGAATCGGGTGACACCTGTGAAAGGGTCGTTTGACACCCCCCCCAAAGGGGTCGCGACCCACAGGCTGAGAACCGCTGGTTTAGTGTGATAGACACTTATCCTAAAGTTACAGGCTGGATGAACCGGCCAGAACCTAAACTCATGTGATGCTCCTAAAGACAGGAGAGGAGGGCTGCCTGCAACCAAGGCAGGGTCTGTGCGGAGAATCCCGCCTCTGGTCCCCCTGGGCTCCTGTGCCCAGGTGCTCCTCCCTGCTGTTACACAGGGCAGTGCTGAGGTCACCGGCTGGCCAAGTGTAATGTCAACCACAGAGCCAGAGTGGGTCCTCTTGGAGCAAGTGTGAAGGATTAAGTAATCAGGCCGCCTGGTTCAGACGTGCAGTCAGCACACTTTGGTTTTTTAATCAGGTATTTTTTCTGAATCTGACCACAAAGCTCTCAGGGGAAGGAGGAAGGGAGGGAGGGAGGGAGGGAGAGAGAGAGAGAGAGAAAAGAGGAGAGGAGAGGCCCTGAGCATGAGAGAGAGAGAGAGAGAGAGAGAGAGAGAGAGAGAGAGCGCAAAGAGGAGAGGAGAGGAGAGGCCCTGAGCATGAGAGAGAGAGAGAGTGAGAGAAGGGGAGGGAAGGGGAGGGAGGGAAGGGAAGAGGAGAGGAGAAGAGAGGAGAGGGGAGAGAGAGATGGGCCCTGAGCATGAGAGAGAAAGAAGAGGAGAGGAGAGGAGAGGAGAGGAGAGGAGAGAGAGATATGGGCCCTGAGCAGGCTATCATGCACAGTCAGGATGCAGGGGTGGAGCTCCTGAGTCGTGAGGGAAGCTATCAGGAACAATCAGCCCATTGCAGTGTGGAGTATGCGGTGCCTGCCAAGGCCCCTGGAAGGGAACTTGATGTCTAACTAGAAAGGGTTTACTCCTCCTCCAGGGTTCTGGTTCGATCTTAGAACAGAGATATCTGACAGAAGACTGTGGTCCGTACTCCGGAGCTGCTGGACCTGGGACAAAGTACTGCTTGCCTAACCCAGTTTTCAGTGCAACAAAGGCTGCTAACAGAGCCTCGCCGGCCACTTCGATTGGCACGAGCTTAACAGCCATCTGTGTCACATACCCCTAACCACAGACTTACCCACCAGTGGCACGGAGGATGCCCGCTGGCCAGGACACAGTCTCTACAACAATGTGTGGAGCTCAGCTCTCTGCCCCTCACCCCCAATCGGACCCTTCCTACACAGATACATTGCCCTCCAAGGGCAGCCATGCCCCCTTCTCTTTCCATCCTTAAGAACTAGAGCTCAGGCAACCCTACCTTGGTTTGCACCCCTACCCCATAGACAACTGATCTTCGCAGGGCCTTTCACTTGCCTGCCATGTTTTGTTCTTTTGCAAAAGGTATTTCTAATTTTCCCACTGTTCAAATCCATTCCTCAAGACTTCTTTGTCAGGATGTGGCCCATACTCATTCGAACATGTGAAAATGGAAGAAAGATGAACACAGGAGAGGAGCTGACATCTCAAAGGATCAAAAGTTTAAAAAAAATAAAAGAGGTGCTTCCCCCTGTGATATTAATGGTATGTGCCAACTTGGCTAGAACTAGGGTTCTTGGTGACTTGGCTGCCACTGGTCTCCTTGCTCTTCCATATTGTAACATAATCATGCTCCAGTGGATGATTGAATGAGATCAGCCAAACTGTTGAAAGAGGAGTTTCCTTGGGGGTCTGGCCTGTCACCTGACCTGTAGCTTTTTAAATTCACTAGACCCCACCATCCAGTAAGCCAGCAGAAGTCCCCAGCTCTTGCACCTGAATCACAGATTTGGGACTTGCCAGGCCTTACAATGGTGTGTGCTATTTCCTTGATGTTAATTAATATATATCTGTCTGTCTGTCTGTCTGTCTGTCTGTCTATCTATCTATCTATCTATCTATCTATCTATCTATCTATCTATCTATCTTAAACCAACTCACTACTAGCAAATTGATGCTGACTCATAGCGACCCTATAGGGCAGGGTAGAACTACCCCTGTGGGTTTCCAAGACTATACCTCTACTCAAGTAGAAAGCCCCATCTTTCTCTCAAGGGGCAGCTGGTGGTTTCAAACTTTAGACCTTCTGGTTAGAAGCCTAATGCATTATTCCTGTGGCATGAGGGTTCCTTCTCTATACATACACGCATATATACACATACGTCGGTGTCGCTGGGGTGGTTCCTCTAGAGAAATTACACTAAGACACTGCCCGTTCCCCCAAATGGACCAAATGGCAGAGGGAAGAGAAGTAAGTGGGCGAAAGAAAGTATCAGAGAAGAGACAAGCAGATGGATAGAGGGAGAAAAAGTCAACGGATACCACCCCACCCCCACCCCCAGAGGGATGGGCAGGCTACATGAGAAAAGGAAATGATTGTAAGAAAGATGCAGAGAGGATGGCTTATGGGGGGCAGAGGAAGCAGAGAACAGGCACATAGACGCTGTGTGGTGGTGGAGTTCCTGTGTCTCCCTACTTCCCTGCTGCAGACCCTGTGTGCCCACTGCCTGGCCCAGGAGGAGGCCTGTAAGTTGGCTCTGCTGTGCTTCCTCAGTCCCCACATCTTCCCTAAGACCTTTCCTCTCCTCCCCCAGCCAGAACTTCTAGAACTGAAGGCAACTTAAGCTCCTCGCCTCTCTGTTGCAAACACTCCCAGTACCCGGAGGTCTGGCACAGCTATGCAACCAGTGATGTATGTGGGCCTCATCGGGTACCCAAGGTTCCCGCCTCCCTCAAGCTGGGTGTGCTGAGCTGGGTCCCACACAGACTGCCCAGGAGTGTGGTGCGCAGCTTCTGCCCACCTGAACCCTCAGGTGACCTTCCCAGAGCCCCAAGCCCAGATGCATCCAGCACCAGAAACCTCTTGGCCACGGCCTCAGGTCCCCCGGGGCACTCACTTACTTTATGTAAGTGTTGGCATTTCCATCCGGGAAGACATACGGGTGCTTCTTTCGGAAGACATGCCCGACTCGGCTGCAGGGAATGATCTCCAGGCTGCCGCCACACATCCACACTCGGAAAGAGATTTCTGCAAGACAACCATGGCCTTCCACTTACCGCTCAGCCTGTCTGCGGGAGAGGGCACAGGGCACAAGCACATTACTTGAGCTTGAGACTGGTGGATCCTGTCACCTTGCATTGCTTGAGTTCAATCCCATCTGGACCTGCTTCGCTAAGCTTCCAAGCTATTGACTATTGCTGACCCACCCTGCTGTTTGCTGCCTTCTGCCTGCCTTGCTCGAGGGAGGACTCTGCTGTCTGCTTCCTTGACCATGGACCCAGCAGCCCACATAAGTTGAAGGAATTCCCCAGTATATTAACTGTTCTACAAGTGAGTTGAACTAAGCCCCCTGGACTGCTGTGTGGACTAATTAGCTGTTATATTCCTTCTCACTGTATAATCCTATCTATCTATCTATCTATCTATCTATCTATCTATCTATCTATCTATCTATCTATCTATCTATCTATCTACCTATCTATCTATCTATCTATCTAAATTACAAGTGTACTGGTTTTGTTTCTCTAGAGAACCCTGCCTGATGAGCAGATACAGAAGCAGTGTCTGATACAGAGAAGCCCTGTTCCTTCTTTTTTTTTTAGGGGGGCGGGGGGCATGCTAGTCCCTGAAGCACAGCTGCTAGAATGGTTAGAGAGTGCCAGGGGGTGCCTAAGCCTGGAAGAGAGAAGTTCCTCTTGAACTCAGGAAAGATGGATTAGACTTGTTCCCTATGACCCAAAGGGTTAGAACTAGAGTAGACCAGAGCATTCCATTTCAGAATACAGAGGAAGCTCCCAACAGTCAGGGCCCTGATGGAATAGAGTAGTGCTTTTCGAGATAACTACATGGCCAGAGCCCTGCCGAGGCCTAAACCTGAGGAGGTGCTTTGACAGGGGTCTACTTCCAACACTGCGACTGTAGTTCTAAGATTCTGGGAGAGCCACCTGAACCGCAGCCCGGGAGGTGGAAGCCAGAGCAGTAACTGAGAGCCGAGAGCAGCTGTAGAGGATGTCAGAAGCATCAAAAGCATTGCTGGGGATGCTCCCCTGGGTAGGGCTTTTGTGCACAGACCCACTTCTTCTGGCTGCTGCTGCCAAGCTCAGGGAGGTAGCTGGGGAGGAGGGAGCAGAGGCAGCTATGATCAGGCTGTCACTGTTGGGAGGGAGTGCATTTCTCCCCCGAGACCACTTAGGAGCAGGCTGGAAGCAGTGATTCTGCTCAGAGAAGGAAGAGCGACATGCAAGAGGGGAAGTGGGTGTGCAGCGGTTTCGCTGGAGGAGTATTTTATCACTGACATTGTTTAGAACGGCTAGCGCAATAAAAAGCAGACTGGCTCTTAGGCAGTTTTATTACTGCCTTTCCATTCTCTACCGATGGTGGTCTCCCTTCCTGCCGGCACCCACGATCCCCTTGGAGCCCACTTGCAAAGCCACTGAACGGCAGGTAAGACTTTCCTTGGCCCCCAATCCTGCTGCCATCGCCTTCTCCACACCTGCCCCTCTGCTACCTTGCAGGTGCTCTCCTGAAAAGGCTGCAGCTCATCCTCAGGAGTTTCAGGTTTTTCCCGTGGAGTGGAGAGCATGCACACGTCTCAAGACTGCTACTGAAAGATGGCAAAAACGCAGAGGAAGAGGAACAGGAGGAGCAAGGCTGGGGTCTGCAAACCTCAGTCTGAAGCCATCGACGAGGCATGCCCTTGGGAAAAGCTGCTTAACTTCCCAGCGCATCATTTGTTCATGTGTTAAACAAAGATCAAGGTACTTTGCGGGATGGCTGTCAAGGTCACAATTAGGAGAATAACTGTGTAAACTTGAAGTATACTTGCTCCTCACTTATTGATTAGGTTCCAAAAAATCAGGTCATTATGTGAATAACAGTGTTATGCGAACATGGAGGATGACGACATCATTAAATAACGGCCAACTTATGTGACGGAACTGCCAAACCACTGAGAATTATGGCCCAGCCAAGATGACACAGTATTAACCATCATAGACAATATCACGCTTCACCTCCCACCTCAGTGTTCATTACTGGCTGATCTGTGTCATTCATGAGCAAACTAGACAGTTTTTTTTTTACTATTGTAAATGTGAAATGTTCGATAATGAGTCAATAATGTGAGGAACAGCTGTAATAACTTACATGGTTATTATGAGCCATCTTTCTGAATCCAGTCTCTTGAAAACAAAGATTCTAATGGATACCAGCCCTCAATACCTGCTTCCAGCTTCCTCAGTGAGGTTCAGCTTTCTTCCTCTGTCCACCTCTGGCCACAGGATAATCTTGAAATTCATGGACTAAACATTTGAGGTTTGGGCTCTCCATAAAAGTCCAGTGTAGACCATGATTTGGGATTTTTCTGAGGCATTGTGTGAGCTGGGTGCCCGTCCAATTGATGTTTACATGAGAATCACTAGTGTGGATTGCACTGTATCCTCTTCAAAGTTGTGCTGAACTCCTAACACTGAACCCACTACCTGTGAGCATTAGTTTGTGTGGAAAGAGGGTCGTTGAAGATGCTACAGGTTAGGTGAACATGAGGCTGTACTGGAATAAAGGGGGTCCCAATCTAATCTGAGTGGAGTCCCTATAAAAGGGAAAAGACACAAGGAGATGGTGGGGGACCCTCATGAAGATGCATCTATAAGCTAAGGAACACCTAATTGCCCAGAGTCACCAGAAGCTGGGAGGGAGTCCTGGGACAAATTCTCCCTCGGAGCCCTCAGAAGAAATCAACATGGCTGATACCCTGATTGCAAACCCCCCCCGCCCCCAAAACTTTGAGATAATCCATTTCCTTGGCTTGAAGTGACTATGATATTTCATCACACCTGCCCTAGGAAATGAATACAGCCACTCAGCAATCCAATGAGCATACTCAACAACCCAGTATCCGCATCTCCACATGACAGTGAATTCATTTGGGAGTTTATGAGGTTGGACGGTGGGAGGACGTCAGTACATAGGTAAATCTGATTCTTGGTATGTCTTTCTTGACCTGTGGACGTCTACTGAGCTCCATTCAATTCCTCACTGGGGACTCCAAGCAGATGTTTTTCCAGTCCCCTCCCCCCCAAATAAAACCCCACTAGTTCCTCAAAACAAGCACTTAAGCTTTTGCTTGCTACATAGAACTTAACAATTTTATGCCAGCTTCCTTCTAAAATTATGCACGTCTCAGTTATGGTCTTTTCCTTTCCATGTATTCAAATGCGACATATGTCCCTCCTCATTTGCAAAGCAAATCCCTCCAACCTAGGCCTCAACTCTATCTTCCACCCCCTTCTTCCACAACCTGCTTCTCTCCCTATGCTTCCTTTGACCCGGCATTTTAATTAATTCAGCATCTAGGGACACATTCATGCACAGGTGGCTGTAGCTGCCTTGGAAAGTACTGTCACTGGACTCGACCTTCTCAGCCTTCTTTCTGAGCTCCGGATGTTCTTTTCCTACTTCACCCCAGGGGTCACCTTTGAGCATTTTCTTTGGAGGCCCTCATCTAATGCCATGACTCTCTTGATGCCAGAGACTCACTTCTATCTCAACACCCCAACTCTACTCCAGGGCTTGAGTGCAAACTTCCAATGGCTGCGGGATGCTTCCACCAATGGGCTGTGGTCACCACCAAACAGAAAAAGACGTTCTCTCTCAGCATCTCCCCACAGCCTGCTGCACGCTGCCTCATCTCCTCCACCTGCAACGCCATTCTTCTTCCTCATGTGCCTTCCTGTTTCAGTGCAGTTAGCGGCCATACCTAGAGCGCTTTACTTCAGCAAACATTTGCAATGGAAGAAATTAACTCTTTCATTGACTGCTGGCCCTGGATGTGTTAGGCATGCCCAGGTGGTAACTCACCAGTCTTCCTAACAACCCTCTCGGTGATTATGAATGTCCCTATTTTATAATGGACAAGCAGCTTTGATAGGGTATCTGAAAGCTAGCAACTTGGGGTTGAAGTGTATCTTGCCAAATCTCGTGCTCTTGATCTGACGCTGCCTTGCCTCAGTACTGGGCACCTGTACTGAGCAATTTACCTCTGGAGACAAAGATAGGGCTTCAAGGCCCTTGCAAAATAGCAATTCAGACAAATACACAGCTATCGTATTTCTGCGGACAGCGACAGAATTCCGGGCTTCCACCTGTGTTGTTGGAGGCTTGCAAGTTGCTATGATTCTGAACATAGTTCTGTGGGACTTCCAGACTAAGGTGGACTAGAAAGAAAGGCCTGCGACCTATTTCCAATGTTCAGCTAGCGAAGATCCCATAGATGACAATGATGTCATCCCATTGGGCCACGCCTCTCCGTGAGTCAGAAGCTGGGTTAAGGCAGCTGGAAACAACAGCCTCGTATTGCTGCCTCAACAACTCACGCATCCAGTCCTGGGAAGGGTCTGATTCCTCCTCGGGTCAGCTGGTGTAACCCACAGCTGGCGTGGGTTCCGAGTGTCTCTAATGACCATATTTTCTTTTCTTTTATTGATCATTTTATGTGTGTGGGAGGGCTCTTACAGATATTATAACAATCCATAAATCACTTATATCAAGTGAACTTGTATAGATGCAGCCATCATTGTCAAAACATTTTCTTTCTACTTGAACCCCTTGATATCAGCTCCTCTTTATTCTCTGCCTTCCACACTCTGCCACCCTCAGGAACCCACAATAAATTTTATATATATATACACACACACACACATATATACATATATATATGTATATATGAACCCACAATAAATTATATATATATATATATACATACATACACATATCCCAATGATCAGATTTTCATACTTCAAGTTATTGAGACATGGATTGCTGTGCTGCTTCCAGAGTAAGTGTCTAGGCGATGCTGCTTACATGCCTATTTAGAACTTTCAAAAAGTGCAATGGTCTACAGGCTCTCGGATGTTGTTGTGGGGCGCTGCTGAGTAGATGCCAAACCTGAACAACACTCTGTTGCAGAGGAGAACTGCCCCCTAGGTTTTCTGATCTGTGATCTTGAAGAAATGGATTTCCAGGTCACT